TCCCAAATATTATATATATTGTATATATAAGGGTTTAGCATAATGCTATTAAAGCTAGTACAAGAGAGTTTAGCTTTGTGTTTAATCATAGTAAGATATTTGGATAAGAGTTTGTTACAGATAAAATGTTTAAGAATAATATTGTATAGTCTGTATTCAATAGTGGGAATAATTACAGTATTAGTAATATATATGGCTTGTTTGTTTGTAATTTTTTTGATGCCTATAATGTTAATAAGTTGAATTGCTTTATCATAAATTAGTTGGCTTTGTTTAGTATATAAATTATTAAGAGTGAACCAATATCCTAGAAATTTAAATAGTTGGTTGGCAGAAATTGGTATAAGTGATGAGTTAAAAAAGTGAATAGGAATTGTAGATAGTGTGTTTGAGGTAAGAATTAATTTAGTTGAATTAATTTGAATATTAGTCATGTGGTAGAAAGAAGTAGCTGTAGCAATAATTGATTGTAATTTTTCTTTAGATTTGGCTATTCAAAGTGTATCATCTATATATGCTAGTATGGATACAGAGGTTTGAAGTTGTTAGAACTTTGATTGAAGCAGTCTAGTATTTTATCTTGTAGCCAAAGTGTATTTTGAAAAGTCTGAAGCTATTTTGGTTATGAGAGAATCATAGTAAATTTTCCAAAATAGTAGAATAATAATTTTTCCTTGATCAATATTATTTTTGACATTGTAGAAATTAGTAAGACCTAAATTTGTAATGACCTGATTGTGTTACTTAGTAAGCAAGTTAGTGAGAATGTTAATAAGATTAGATGCCATTTGTAAGTATGTTAAAAATTTGGTAAAGAGTATAAGGTCTACAGAATCATAGGCTTTACTCATATCCTAAGATAGAAGTCAGAGTTGTTTTAAGTTACAAGAAGCTTTTTCAATAACATTGTTAAGTATATGTATAAGGATAGCTGTGCTATTATTAGATAAAGCTATATAGTTAAAAAGTGATAAGATTTTATGATAAGTAAAGATGTAATTAAACTGATTGGTAAGAAGTTTTGTGTAAAGTTTTTTGACATATTTAAATAAACTAATAGGTCTGGTGTTAGTTAAATTGATATCAAAGATAGATTTTTTAAAAATAGAAAAAATTCTTTTTTCTTTTCATTAATTTGGAATTTGACCAAATATAAGACAGCAGTTAAAAAGAGCTGTAATTGTATCAAAGAATGCTGTTCTAGCATGTTTAAGCATCTCATAGCTGATGCCTGATGGTTTGCATGCTTTTTTGTTAGGAAGCTAATTAATAACTTCAATAACTTCTATAGAAAAGAATTCTTTAAGTGCTGGTTAATACCATATAGAATTGATATTAGGTTTAGGTTAGTATTCTTGTTGCCACATTGTGTTAAATAATTGTGATTAGATATTTTGAGAGACTGTCCAATCATCAAAATGTTGTTGAATATGCTATTTGATAAATGATAGTTTAGTAATAACATTATTAGGTTCTTTAATATTGTCAAACTTAACAGAATTTTTGTGTCAGTTAAGTATACTATTAATTATTAATATTGGACTATTTTGAAGTTTAGTGCACTTTTTAACTATGTTGTCATTAATTTGTTCTCTTATATTTTTAATATTTTTTAAATTTCTAGCATGGTAGAGTGTTTTTCATTCAGTGTTGATTGCAGATATCCAATCAGATAAAAGGTTAGGATTCTAAGGCAGTTCTGATACATTGAGATGATAAAGAGAATTGAGTTGGTGAATGTTTAAGTTATGAAGTACAGATACAAAAATGTGGTTCTGAATTAAAGCTTTAACTTGTCTAATAATATTGTCTAGTTTTTTAAATTCTGAATATAATTTCTATACCTTGAAAGAAAATATATATTAGAAGTTACAGACAGTGAATTTTTTATTTGAAATATGTTGAAAAGCAGCTAAAATAATACTAGTTTGAATTTTGTGCCAAGATGCTTCAAGTAATTCTGTAGTGTTAGTTGTAAAAAAAGCATTGTTGTTTTTAAGATTGGATGTAACTTGGTCAAAGAAGTTTTGTTAAAGGTCTTAATTTATTTGTTTATAAACAAATATTCTATACTTAGTTTTGGTTGCTGATTATCATTTACCAGTAATTGTATAGGGAAATTCCCAGGATGATATAAGTATGTTATGATTATTAAGTGTGCTTTGATTGACATTATCTGTGTAATAGAAAGTTAAATATCGAATAATAGAGTGGTTGGCTCAGATATAGTCAATTTGACTACTATATCTGCAAACATACCAGGTAAGAGACAAAGATTATGTATGTTTTGCTAAGTCATACATATTGTTGTATTAAAGAAAATAAATTAGTTTGAGTTTAATAGATAATAATTGTGAGTTGTTAGAAACATTAAAGTCACCTATGACAATTGGTTATATATTATTTGTGTTTGCTTCTTGAATTCATTGTATAATGTTGTTCTAAATAAGAAGTCTAAGATAAAGGTCATTACAAGGTAAATAGACTGATATAATGTGAAATTTGAAGTCATGTTTGAAAAAAAGATCAATTGCAATAACATATTTAGAAAGGTTAAGTGTTTTGTAAATATGTGGTTTAAGATGCTTTTGAATCATAATAGCTGTTTTAGCTTTACAACTATCAGTACATGACCAATAATAGGTAAAGTGTTAAGATCTTAAAAATTTATCATATGCATTGTTTTGTGAGATTTTGGTTTCTGTAATGCTAGCAATATTAATATTATAAGCTAAACAGTAGTTCTTTTATGTTTGTTGTTTTAAGTTATTATTGTATCATTGTGTATTATATATGCATATTGATAGGTGAAGTAGTTTATATAAAATAGGTGTAAGTGTATTAGCTGTTAGTGCTTGGAAGGTGAATTGGATATAATTATTAAAGTGAGAGCTAGAAGATGTAGCTATATGATTAGAATTAAAGATAAATAATAAATTAGTAAATGAGAATACTAAAGATGAGTCATCAAGAAACAGTTGATTAAGTAAAGATAAGTAAGTATAAGATAAAGTGCTATTTGGTATTGTTAGCAAGAGTAAATGCTTGTAAAGTTTATATTGAAAGGTTAAATAAAATGGTGTTCATAAAGAGTAAGATCTGAGAGATCAATGTATATATATAGTTCAGTTTTGTTTTAGTTAATAGATATTTTAAAACTATGCTTAAAAGAATGTTTTCGAAAATAGAATAGGAATTCTCTAAATGTTATGTAGTGATATATAGTAAGTAGATTATATAATAATAGGAATTTGTTATAGCATGTGTTTGTTTCTGCAGAGGATAAAATATTGAAAACAGGAACTTGGGATGTTGAGTTGTCTTCTACAGAATCATTTATCATTATAATAAAATTTAAAAAACTATATTTATTATAACATATTGTTTTTTGATAATAAATTAGATTGGTATATTTGTAACTTTAAGTTACAACATTTCAAATAGAAGCTTAAGACATCTATATAAAATATAATATTATATATGTATATGTTGTACTTCAGATAAGAATCCACCTAATTCAGAATTCGGCTGTCTCGATTCAGAATCAGGGCAGCCAGATTTAGAATTCCTATACGGGGTACCTGGATAGATATTTATATGTTGTCGCAGGAGAACAGGGTGGATTCAAGAATAGAGCAAATGCGATGAATTGTTACTTCAAAATCGTCAATATTGCATAATATTACCCGAAAGCAAGATGAGGCAGATATGATTTGGCAATGGCTAAGGCAGCTTTCAAGCAAGTTACCAGTAAGTATAGAGACTTTTCTAAAGAACGTTTGTGTCTTTTGATACTTTATATAATTTATAAACTGTTTTATTGTTTCATTAATTTCTTTTAATTACAGGAGTGAAGAGAGGTCAGGGAGTCATGGGGGTCCCCTCCCACTTAATGTCAAAACAGAGGACTATTTATAACGAATTATCAAGGGAGTATCTTGGGAGCATTCTCCCTTTTTTTATCTTAGTGTTTCCTTTTTCTGTTAATTGTACCAGTTCACTCTTTGACTCATCCTTCTGTCTTTTCATTAACTACTTTATTTCATAGGTTCTGCTAATAGCTACAGCCGCATAACCTAAAATGTCTTCACAGCACCAAGGCTTAGTTGTGAACCCGTGAAGATAAGTTATCTTCACTTTTTTCCTGATTGTGCAACGTGATGATTCTACTAAGTCTTTCTTCCTTTTTAGGTTAGCTATAATTGTCACATGTGGGGTCCAAGCTTACAATTGTGGCACCTCTAGTCACATTTTCAGTCACATTTTCGATGATCATTGCACAACAGCTTTAACCAGATTTCCCCCTAACAATGTATAGAATCAGGAATTAAAATAAAACATTTGTTTGTTAATTGCAATATTTAATCTCCGATATATGACATGATGTAATCGATTTAAAAGTATAAAAAAAAAGTATGCTTAGTAATAAAAAAAGACAAAGATGAAAAAAATTTTTTTTCCAATAACATGATCGATACTTGTATTACTTTTATCATTTAATCTCTCAACTAAAAAAATAAATAAAAAATAAAAAAAAAATAAAAACACCAATAAACCCAATACATCTAGCTTTATAAATACTAATAGAGAGTTTCCTTTTCTTTCATGTGTTGCTTTTAATCAACTTGTGTCTGAATTCTTATCAAGTCACTCCCTTAATCAACAAAGAAAAGCAATTATTATTCAAGAAGATTATGACTTAATTATCAGCATTTTAAGAAGTCTCCAAGACACATCTATTGGAACTGCAAAAGATAGGTTTTGGGCAAAAAAAAGTTTTTATATACACAATCTTGGAACATCCCAAAACCTTATTATTTAGCTTATGGAAGTCAAAAATTTAAATAAAAAATCAGATTGTGTTATTTGTTCATTCCAAAACCTTTATGATGTTCTTGGAAAGATACATGGCAACACATAGCAACATTCTGAATCAAAGAAGACATATGAGGCAATTAGTAACCAGTATGCTTATGTTTCTAGATCATTTGTAAAACTATATGTCTCTCATTGTACACAATGTTGTATGAGAAGAAGTTTTCCGGCACCTATAATTAGAAAAACCATTGTTTCAAAAAAGTTGTTACAACACGTATAGGTTGATTTAGTTTCATTTGAAAAATATCCAGATAATGAGTATAAATATATTGCACATCTTCGTGATCACTTCACGTGGTTTTCATGGACATGTCCATTACACACCAAGAAGGCATCAGAAGTTGCTGCATTTTTATTTTCAGTCTTTACTGTTTTTGGTCCTTCTTATATTTTACAAAGTAATAATAGTCAGGAGTTCACCGCACAAATCATTTATGAACTTATTTGTTTATAGAAAGAAATTCACATTATTAATAAACATTCTCACTATCCAGAATCTCAAGGTTCAGTTAAAAGTTCAAACAAGACTTTAAAAAATGCTCTTTCAACATGGATGAAAGATAACAATAGAAGGGATTGGAGCATTGGTCTTCCTATAGTCACATATGCTATGAATATTCATTGCTTTAGACCTACTCATTATACATCATATGAGTTAGTTTTTGGACAACATCCATTATGCTACTTTAACATGATCAAGAAATGGAAGCAACATAATGTCAATATGGAAGAAGGCTTATCAGAAGGTATTATTGAAAATGAGGAAAATTTTGAGGATGCTGATAATAATGATATAGATGATGAAGATGACCAAAGTATAACACTTCAACAACGTAATAATGGCATTGCACATATAAAAATTAATGATTATATTTATGAAGGTAAAGAAAGTATAATGCGAATGCAAAAAATTGTTGCAATTTAATTTTTTATAAATTTATTTCTCATCAATTTATAAATAATTTAATTAGAAAATAGGGTTTC